CGTCACCCACCCACCCACCGCGGAAGATTCCCGTATAATAATAATAATATATTGTTTATGTTTAAGTCGTCCGCGTTTTTCATGCTCCGTATAATTGCGTACATCCGCACGATGAATCGCTTCCGCGCGCGACGTTTTATAATCATGCATTATACATGGCCTGTTCGTGTACGTAATATCTATATCGTTTTCGTGATATACATGTGTAGGCAAGGCACCAACCCCTTATTTGTGTGGTGTATAATAATGTTTATGATAATGACGATGGGATGATATTATATAGGTATAGTGTTTATCCATAGCTATACATGCAGCGAGTTGTACCTAACTATAAAACTATAATATTACAATATATGATTGCGATTCGAGACGTATTGGTGTAGTAGCCAGTACCTATAGGTATCGCTCGATTAGTGTATCGCTCTACATAATAATAAACAGTACCTACTCGAACTTCAACTTTAGAAAAGCGTATAATAAACCATAAGATGATGTGACAAATTAGGAGAATTTTAAGCTCCAGTCATGACATCATTATAAATAGGTCCCTTAAATACGTAGGTTAGGTTAGGTTAGGTTGGTGGAGACGTGGAGGAGTTTGATTTAAATTATTTTATGTCATCCATTGATTTTCCAACTCTAAAAAAGTATATTGTTGCTACTAAAATTGTACATATATCTTATAATTACCTATACATATAAATATTATTATTATTGTTTATTAAACGTCGAAACGGCAATTTTACACAGTATTACAAATATAGTATAAGTACAGTAAGGTAGAATACATAAATAATTTATTGGATACAGAAATAATTTAGGTAAAAGTATAAATAATTCAGGGTATACATGTTATAATATAGATAAATAGTATAATTATAGAGGTAGAAGTATAATTAGTGGCCTAAGGATTATTGGTTGTTTGTAGCTCTGAGCATGCGATGTAGAGTGTGGTTGTGCCCATTAGAGGTCTTGTGGGTTGGGACATAAAATTGTGTTTGGTTTCTGTAAGAATGAGAAAAAACTCTGAATGGGATGGCTGCAAGGAGATCAGGAACGTCCAAAGAACCATTTAGGATTGAATTTAGAAAGTCTAAGTCTGCTTTAGGACGACGAGAGGTAAAAGTTTGAAAGTTTAAAACTTGCCTTATGTTGGAATAATCATGATTTTCGTGATGAATTTTAATTTTAAAGGCAATAAAGTTAAGAAATGTATTATGGACGCGTTCAAGTCGTAGCTGGTCTTTGACTAAAAACGGTTGCCAAACCATAGATCTATACTCTAGAAGAGAACGGACAAGGGCATAGTATAAAGTACAAAGGCATCCAACCGACTTAAATAGTTTAGTATTGCGTGTGATGAATCCGAGGACTTTAAGTGCTCTATTAACCATCGCATTTATGTGAGTGCTAAAACATAGATTAGGCGAGTAAATTATACCAAGGTCCTTAATGGAGGAAACTCGTTCAAGGTCCATGCCGTTAAGAGAGTAGGTGGTAAAAATTGGAGTTAAAGATCTGGAGAAGGAAATGACGTTACACTTAGAAAGGTTTAGGGTTAAACCTAAATGAGAGACCCATTTTGTAAAAATGTCTAATTTACTCTGAAGTAGGGTAGAATCTGAAGGGGATCTAGTTTTATGAAATATCTTTATATCATTTGTACATAAACAAAAATTTTACTTGGTTAAGCCTTATGGATATAGAGTTAACAAAAAGTGAAAATAGTAATGGGCTTAGGTGGCCGCCCTGAGGAACCCTAGAAGTTGTTTCAGATGATTTTGAAGAGGAGGAGCTCAAGAATTGGTTTCTTCCAGTTATGTAAGATTTAAGCCAAGATAATAGTGGATAACTAMTATAAATATGTTGAATTCATTGCCAAAAACACCATTTATTAGAGAACATTTTTTGATAATGGTATCTAATCAACACATAACAGTAGACACATGAGATTAAATAAAATAAAAATTTATAACTAGGGCTTGGAACTTATAGGATTTAAAAAGGAAAGATATGCACGAACCATTGTAAAATATACATSGAAAATATCAAATATGAAAAATAAATTTATCAATATTACAAAAATTCTTAATTCAAAAAAATACAATTTTATGTTGCTATTAATTTAGGTACACTTAAAAAAGAAAATGATATGGAAAAATAAATTTATAACACGTCTTATAGTATGGCATAATACTGTATAGCATTTTGACACTTTATCGAACTGTAAAATAAAGTTAAAAAAATATAATCGACAATATTAGGACATCGGAATATTAGCACGCTAGATTAAATGTGAATCACACCGTCGTGTCAAATTAATATCGACTGCGAATTGCGATAATATCAATTAATACCTAAATTAAATAATATATATAAGACTTAGGTATTAAATTGTTTTACTTTAAAAGCTTATATTATTAAATTGCCGTCTCTCCGGCTTAATATGAAATATACTAACCGACCTACTCGTGCGGGGTTTTATAAACCCCCCCACCTCACTATCATAGGGACTGACTTGCGTGGACCCATTAATCCAGGCTAATGATATACAGGCACGAGTGACAATAAATATACTTAACAGATTTGCCTTATTATTGGTTTGTTAGATACCACAGTACTAAAATTCAGTCAAAGTCAAAGTGATCGATGAGTTAAGTCATAATATAGATATTTGTTTTTATTACTTAATAGTTCACTTATATATATATATATATAAAGATATCGACAACTACATAATAAACCTATGACTATTATAAGCTATCAATGATGAATAAATACGTATATATAGATAATATGAATATATGATATAGTAATATTAAACTCCACATTTATATTATTTTTGTTATAGCAAAAAATATCTAATAACTCAGTTAACGAGTAATAAGTTATAATTTTGGAAGTGGATTTTTGTTTACCTATTATATTATTTACTTGTCACAGTTTTAAGTCAACATTGCAATAAATAGTATAGAAAGTGGATCTGATCAATGAGCTTTGAGTAAATGCACATGATTATTACAAAATTAATTAATAATTAAAATATGTTACTCATTTGTCATTACCCAATATCCTCAATTAAATCCAAAATCAATACAAAATCGTAAAAATACGCTACTGCATTTCATCGACAATCATTGGTATACATAAAGAGATGTTTTAAAAAATAGGCAATAATATAATAATAGTGCCTTTAGAACAACAATCGCATAAAAATGTCATGAAAATTAAAAGCAACAACATCATGGAAGGATTACAGTTAATTTGAAATATTTGTTTGAAAAAAAATGATAGGTAAATATTGAAAAAAAAAATGTATCAAAATGAATTTAAAAAATTAAATACAATATCTTTGAAATATGTGTGGAATGGAGTGAAAACTCAAATACCCAATAAGAGATGCTACCAAAAAGATTGGTATCTTAAAATAAATATATAGGTAGACATCAGTGGCGTGGTGATTGGCGAACTCAAATATTATCAGAGGCAAGTTAATTTTTCGAAATCCACACACCCATCTACAAACCAACGCACCCACGAGAGATCAATAAACAACTATTATTGAATACTGGGTTTTTATCTCTCTCTAAAAATGTAACCTTTAAAAAAATTCTTATGGATCGCCTTTCGCAGAAAATGTTAAAACCATACAGATAATTGTAAGATTAATTGAAATAACATGAAATGAAACAATACTTATTAAAGCATTACTTTGGTCTTGTATTTTAATAGGGTTAAGTTGTTCAACATTCTTATAAAATTAAATTATTACCCAACCACCTATCATCATCCCTTAAAAAATTGAAAGGCGGCCTTCTCTCGATTATCCCCTTCGCCATGCCATCTGCATCTGCAGGTATATTCTTGTGATTACACAAGAAGCAGTAATAGACTAATAATAGCTGTCAGCCGATCTGAATCAATATGATTTTATTGATTTTTTTATTTAATTTTATAACCACGTAACAACCAAAAATGGTAAATAAAATCGGATATTTGTATCTAATTTTAATATATATTTAAATTTTTTAATTTCCTTAAAATATTGTTAAAATTGTCTTTTTAATCCCTTAAACTTTGCAAGTGAAAATCTTTAA